GCTCACACCCCAGCCCCGCGCTCACACCCAAGACCCGCTCGCACCCAGGGCCCGCTCACACCCGGGACCTGGCCCTTACACAGGACCTGGGCTTAGCACTGCCACCCCCGGTTCCTGCTGTGCTTTTCCCGGGCACCTTTAAAAATAACCACTGAGACCTGAGCCTGCACAACGCCAGTGACCTCCCCCAGATGGCTCTCCCGCTCTGTCTCCTGCTCCCCGTGGCCCGGGCGGGGGCTGCCTTTCCCGGCTCACTGCCCCCATTTCTGGGACTGTGAGTAAAACACCTGCAGACTTCGTGTGAGGCTATTGAAACTGCACCTCTGTCAGAACGCCCCAGGTTTCTCCCCAGGGGGGAGCCCAGCTGCTGAGGGGCTCCTGCCGATGCCGTGGGGGCTCCGACCGACCCGTGGGGGCCGAGCTCCTCCTCAGTGGGCCGTCTGTGTGCCCTGCGTTCACCCTCCAGCTGCAGGATGGGCGCTGTGGCCCCGAGGCCCTGAGCTGCAGAGACCGGGCGCGAGTACTCGGCTGCCAACAGCCACCCCACGGGTTGGCCTGGTCAGAGACGTTCCTAACTCCTAACGGTGTGAGACAGCGCCACTTCACCGGGAAGCGGGGCTGCGTGTGGCCGGCAGGCGGCACCCGCACGACGGGCAAACGGCCCACGGCAGGTGTTTGCATAAGTCAGCTGGAGCGTGGCTGCCTCAGGGCCGTCCCCACCTCATCCCTCTGAGGGTCAGGATACCCCACCACGTCCCTGAAGACAGCTGGCTGCGAGCGAGGGAGGCCTCGGTGCCTGTTGATAAACGTTCTCACGTTCCTCTCGCTCTGCAGGCGGCCTTGGTGTTGGCCCTGAGGTCACTGTGTCCCGACCGGGGTGCATGGTTACATCGCCGGCCAGTGCCGCCTGCCCGAGTGAACTGAAGGGGGAGCTGCCTCCTGTGGGGACCGAGCGGGGCTGACGAGCGCTGGACCCAAAGTTTCCCTACGGTTTGTGGTCAGAACACCGTCCATCTCCCCTCGAATCAGACCCGCCCAGCTGGCTCCACAGTCCGCCTCGCTGGCTGCGTCTCGCACTGGAGTGTGGAGTCCTGTGGTCCCAACGGCATCTGCTGCGTCAGCAAAACGATGCACAGGGCACGTCCTTCAGCGGCTCGAGGTGGTCCCACAGAAGCGGCCCCCGGGCTTCCGAGTGCGCCCGGACCAGCGCTGGGGTTTGGCTGCCAGGCTCCGGCTAGTGAGGTTGGACCTGTGCCCGGGGACCATCTCCTCATCACACTCCGGGTGAGTGGGAGGAGCCCGATTCCTTACCTCCCGGACGTGGCTGTCCACACGCCTGGGGCCACCCTCCCCCCTGGGACTGTCCCACCAGTGTCAGCTCTCAGCACCCCTATCCCGGCATGCTCCTCGGCTGAGCAGGGCCGACAGCCCGCCGCAGCCCCTGCCGGAACGAAAGCCCACGGGCGGCACGTGCTGAGCCAGACGTGGCCTCCTCCACGTCCCCACAACACCGGGTGCCCGCCGGCTGCCCAGCCATGACCGGCCCTGCTTTTCTTCTGAGGCTTCCCACGCGCCTGATTTCTAGCCACTCGCCCTCCCGGGAGACGGTCTCTAACCCTCTCCCTCCGCTCACGTCGGCGGCACGAGGGCCGTGTTCTCCTCTCCCCACCTGGTCCCGCAGGGGGTTCTCATTTCCAGTCCGCGCCTCCTCCTCGCCCCTCGGGCCGGGCCGCACTCTCACTTGGACCCATCTTGCTTCGGCTGCTCTAGCAAAGGTTCTCAAAGAAAGCCCTAAGCCCTGGCTGGCTGTGCAGTGGTGAGAGCGCCAGCTCCCAGACACGGGGTCTCAGGTCTGATTCCCGGACAGGGGCTGGTACCTGGGTGGCAAGTCCACTCCCTGGCCCCTGTCCAGTGCATGCAGCAGGCACCCAGTCCATGTGTCTCTCACATTGATGTTTCTCTCTCCCTCCCTCCCTCCTTTCCACTCTCTCTACAAGTCAGTGGAAAAACTATCCTTGGGTGAGCATTAACAAAAAAAATCAAAAAAGCACCTTTAAGAGCATGATTAGCACCCCACACTCCCAGATCCCAGATCCGGCAGCCCCCACACTCCCGGATCCCAGATCCGGCTGCCCCCACACTCCCGGATCCCAGATCCGGCTGCTCCCACACTCCCGGATTCGGCTACAGGGGTTCTGCTGTGGACAGAGAGCCCCAGTCGTCCTGACCTTCCCCAGAGCGAGGAGTGCTCAGACGGGCGCCCTAACCTGTGCCACAGAGTTGCTGTGCCACGTGCCTCCCGAGCTGATGCCCACAGAACAGCGGGGGGTCTCCCCTCAGCCCTCAAGACAGGGAAACAACTTGGGTTCCCGAACTCCCCACGCGGTCAGTTCCAAATCACAGCTCACGCCGGGTGCCTGGACAGCAGGCCGAGCCTGAAGAGGGGGAGTCCTTCCCGCAGACCAGGCCTTTCCCACCGCCTCCGAGGGGGCCTGCCCTCCCCACCAGGGGGCAGCCCGGCCTGGCAGCTGGGGTTCAACCCATCCTCCGGGAGTGGGAGGGGCCTCGGCACTAAACTCCCCGGCACAGCCTACTCTTGTGCCCTCGCCCCGCGACTTCCCACCGGGCTGCCCTCAGGCACCCGCACACGCCCCTTTGGGACAGCTGCACCCCCCAACACGGCAATGCCCTCTGCGTGAGCCTCTCCCCGGAGGGGAAGCACCCTGAGGGCAGGGACGCTGACCGCCTCCCGCCTCAGACCACAGCCTTCCAGAACCTTCTGCTGAGCCCAAGCAGGTCTGAAAAGCTGTCTCAGAGGATGGCCAGCCGGCCTTCCTGTTTCTGCGAAAGGCGGGTTTAATTAAATTTTAACCAATGAATAATTATCATCTCAAATGAGAGAAGATGAAGGACAAGCGGCATGCGGTGTGGCCTGAGCCACCGTGGGGAGC